GTCGTGAGAAACGCGTGGCGGGTGCCGCTTCCGGTGGGCCACGCAGCACGGTGATGCGTGGGGGACGCATGCGGGTGGTCCCACTGGGGCCTTCGGTGGAGCCCCCAAATGGGGCCACGGAACGCTGTACTGGGTGGGGGTGGGGGGGACGCATGCGGGCGGTCCAACTAGGACCTTCGCTGGGGCTCCCCATGGGCCACGAAACGCTGCGCTGGGTGTGGCGGACGCATGCGGGCACCCCCACTGGGGCCTTCGGTGGAGCTTCCTATGGGGCCACGAAACGCTGTGCTGTGTGGGAGAAATGCAGGCGGGAGGGAGTAGGGGGAGGCGGGGGAGGAGGAGGGGGAGGAGGGGGAGGAGGAGGAGAGAGGAGAGAGGAGGAACGCGGGGACCGCCTCTTCAAACCGAGGACCCAACACCACAGGATGGTTTGGAAAAAAAACACATCGTCGGAGATCTGGCTACAGCGCCCAAGCGCCCGTCGGCCTCCACAGCCGCGGGCGCGGGCGCGGCGGCCAGCGACCAATTGTCGCCCCAGGAGCGCGACACGCCGCGCAGCAGCGCGTCGGTGGCGAACGTGCCCCGAGGGTCCTCCGCCGCGGCTTCTGCTTTTTCGTGTTATTCTCCACATCCAAAGTGGGGTTCTTGTTTTCTCTGCACACGCCGCGCCGGATCTCCCCCCCTTTCCTCTCTCTCTCTTTTTTTCTCTCTCTCTCTCTCTCTCTCTCTCTCTCTTTCTCTCTCTCTCTCTCTCTCTCTCTCTTTCTCTCTCTCTCTCTCTCTCTCTCTCTCTTTCTCTTTTTCACTCACCATTATCACCATTATCATCACCATCAACCGCCATCATCGTCATCGCGCGCACACGTTCATCATCATTACCATCAGCATCACCATCAACCACCATCACCGTCATCACTACTCATCATAATCCTTCATCATGACTCATCATCATAATCCTCCTCATCATCATCGTCACCCTCATCACCACTCGATCACCCACTCACTCACTCAATTACTCACTCATCCTCAGTCGGCTTCGGAAGCAGTGGCCTTCCGACGGTAGGACCGCCGCCACTCTCAACATCATCGTCACCATCTCCATCATCATCTCTCGACCACCCACTCAGTGGCCATCATGATCATCATCAGCACCATCATCACTCATTTATCACACACTCATCATCATCATCATCATCATCATCATCCTCATCATCAGTCACTCACTCGTCATTTCGTCATCACTCACTCCCTGGCTTGAATGTGGACGTACTATCAGGCGGGAGCCTCGTCTGTGATTGAATTGTGGGGAAGTCTCAGGCGGGAGCCCCTCCCTATGGGGCCCGCACCTCATGTTTTTAATCCGAAACGGGTCATTCGAAACGTGTAACTGTCGTCACTTTTGGGCCCCTGTGGCGTGAATATGGAGGAAGTATCAAGCGGGAGCCTCGTCTGTGAGTAAATTGCGACGAACTCTCAGGCGGGAAGCCTCTTCCTATGGGGCCCGCACCTCACGTTTTTTATCCGAGGCGGGTCATCCGAAACGTGTAACTGTCGTCACTTTGGGGCCCCTGCGGCGTGAATCTGGAAGAAATATCAAGCGGGAGCCTCGTCTGTGAGTGAATTGCGACGAAGTCTCAGGCGGGAAGCCTTTCCCTATGGGGCCCGCACCTCATGTTTTTAATCCGACGCGGGTCATCCGAAACGTGTAACTGTCGTCACTTTTGGCCTCCGGAAGGCTTGAATAAGGAGGACGCATCAGGCGGGAGCCTCGTCTGTGAGTGACCCGCGAGGAAATCACAGGCGGGAGAGGCGGGAAGCCTTTCCCTATGGGGCCCGCACCTCACGTTTTTAATCCGACGCGGGTCATCCGAAACGTGTAAAAGTCGACACTTTTGGCCTCCGGAGGGCTTGAATAAGGAGGATGTATCAGGCGGGAGCCTCGTCTGTGAGTGACCCGCGAGGAAGTCACAGGCGGGAGAAGCGGGAAGCCTCTCCCTATGGGGCCCGCACCTCACGTTTTTAATCCGAGGCGGGTCATCCGAAACGTGCAACTGTCGTCACTTTTGGCTTCCGGAGGGCTTGAATAAGGAGGATGTATCAGGCGGGAACCTCGTCTGTGAGTGACTCGCGAGGAAGTCACAAGCGGGAGAAGCGGGAAGCCTCTCCCTATGGGGCCCGCTGGTGACCGCAGCGCGCGAGGAGAGACACGCCTGGGCAAACCTGCATGACGAACGCCCCCAGGGCAATCGCGACGAGGACGATGCAGGCGCTCCGGACGGCGAGGACGACGGCGCAGGCGGCCTGGGCGGCGACCCCGCTGCGGCCAGTTTTGCCAGCAGCGTGTACTCAACGCCCAGCGCGTACATCGCCGCCCTGGTCGCTGGGTTGTCGGAGAACGAGAGACTCACGCGGGACCAGACGCTTTTCGTCGCCAAGTTCGCCAAGGCCTGCGACGACGCCTGGGAGGACGACGCGCAGAAGAAGCCCTGGAGCGAGAGAAAAGTGACGCACTTGCTCGTGTTGGGCGAGGGCGGCTCGGGGAAGACGCACGTGGTGCAGAAGATCGTCTTCCCAGTGGTGGAGTATTTGCGGCCCCGCAGGACAAGGGCGCCATGATGGTCGTGGCCTTCTCGAACGCGCAGGCGAAGAACATCTCCACGGAGACGGTGAAGGCCAGAACGCTGCACAACGCCTGCGCCCTGCGAGTCCAGAAGTACATCAACGCGAAGATGAGACGGGGGGGCATGCAGAAGAGGTTGCAGTGGTTGTGGGAGCACGCCCGCGTCCTGGTCATCGAGGAGGTAAGCATGGTGGCAGCTGCTCTGTACAACGCGCTGGACCTTCGCGCCTGCCGCAGGCGCAGTCACACGCACGACGTGCAGGAGTCCACCTACAAGAGGCCGCACCACCACTTCGGCCGCGTCCCCATCGTGTTGCACCTCGGGGATTTCCTGCAGCTGAAGCCCACCGGCAGCATCGGGCTCCTGACGGACGTGAACGAACTCCTGGACGACGGGTCGTACAAGTACGCGGAGCCGCCGACGGTGGAGATCCAGCACGTCATCAGGGTCTTCTCTCAGATCCCCTGCGTCTTCGAGCTGAAGGGCACAAAGCGCTTCGAGCCGGGGGACCCTCTGATCGCGCTTTTGGGCTGCACGCGCGAGGGCAAGCGCTTCCCACCAGAGGTCTGGTCTGCCTGGGAGAAGACGTTGGCCTCTGACAACCACGGCGTCCTGGACCCACGGCACCAGCACGAGAATTTCCGGCTCGGCTACGGCATGGGCATCTACTGGGAAACGCTGGCGAGGTGGATCAACACGCGCGCTCGTCGCGACGCGCGGCGCCTCGGCGTCCCCCTCGGCTTCCTGCAGGCCGTAGACGAGTGCGGCACGATTCAAGGCGACCTAGACGCAGGCCGGCGCCTCCTGAACGTCCCGAACATGCACAAAACGGGGGACATCCACGGCGTCTCACCGGCACACGTCGGCATGGAGGTCCGGTTCACGGCCGTGCAGGAGGAGCTGAAGAAGAAGTTGGGGCTCGTGCAGGAGCAACGGGCCACCATCGTGTCCTTCGAGTTTCACGCAGACGACGAGCGGGACTACGAGGAGTGCGCGCCGGGCCAGCTCTTCCGCCCCCGTTACCTACCGCAGGGAATCTGGCTGCAGGTGCACGGCTTCCAGGAGTCCCCGATCTACAAGGAAGTCGCCGAGGTGCTGCAGCAGGGCGCCGACGGCGCTGCCGACGACGCCGAAGCCGCAGCGCGGGCGAGGAGCTTGCTCATGTTCAGGCCCAGCGAACAGGAGCTCACGTGGCAAAGCTCGGGGGCGCACACTGCGCGCCGCTCGAGGTTCACCCTGACGCATGCGCCCTACCTGACCTCCACGCTGTCGCAGGGCCAGACGCTGCGCAAGGGCGTCACCATCGACTGCGCCAGGGATGAAGACGCTGGCCGCACACGCATGTCGGACGGGATGTGTGGCTGCACCTCTACGTCATGTTCTCCCGCGCCACGCGCATGCGGAACATGCTGATCCTGCGGCCGCCCGCGCGAGAGTTCCTGGAGCGCGGGCCGCCGGCGTCACTGCGGAAGGCGCTCCAGGAGTTCGACAAGAGAGCGGTGGACTCCAGGGCTGAGGCGGAGCAGCTCGCGGCAGAGCTGGGCTTCGTGCCGCCACCCGCCTGAGCGCCGCGGCGCGCACCTGGAGGCCCGCGGGGTTATCGCAACGGCTGGCTCCCGCGCCCCTGCGGCCTGCGAGGTTGTCCCAACGGCCTGGCCCGAAGGGTTGTCCCGACGGTTTCGCGATCTAGCCGTCGGCAAAGGCGCGCGTGCTGGCCGACGCGGCGACGGCGCCGGGGAAAATCGAGTTGCTTGCCACGGCCAGGGGGAACGGGAGGTTCACATGGAGAAGAGGCAGGAGGATGAGGAGGGAAGGGGCATGGGGGAGGGCGACGACGAGGAGGTGGCGCGAGAGGAGGAGGAGGAGGAGGAGAAGGAGGAGGAGGAGGAGGAGAAGGAGGAAGAGAAATAGAAGGAGGAAGAGAGGGCAGTGCAGAGGGCGAGAGGAGAGGATGTCCGCCAGGGGGAGGAGGAAAGGGCAAAGGGTAAGCTAAACAGATTTTCGTGTGGGGTCCTACCGTCGGAGTGATTAGTGTTGTTATTAGTATTGCTCGTATTGCTGTACGTTTTCTGTTCAGTGCCATTCTTCTCTTCATTCGTACCAACATACGTCTTTAGCTAAATACATGTTTCGCCTGATCTTTGAGTCGTAGTCGTAGTCGTAGTCGTAGTCGCAGTCGTAGTAGTAGGAGTAGTAGGAGTAGGAGTAGGAGTAGGAGTAGGAGTAGTAGTAGTAGTAGGAGGAGGAGGAGGAGTAGTAGCAGTAGTAGTAGCAGTAAGAGTAGTAGTAGTAGTATAGTAGTAGTAGTAGTAGTAGTAGTAGTAGTAGTAGTAGTAGTAGTAGTAGTAGTAGTAGTAGTAGTAGTAATAGTAGTAGTAG